GGGGAGGGGGGTCCAAAAATCGTTCTCTAGGAATATACCGACCTTTGTTTTGACAGTTTGAAAATCAAAAACATTTGATTTACGAATATATTTTTCAATTAAATAAAAAAATGAAAACACATTTAAAAATAAGGAGGGAGGGAGATTTTTTACTTTAATTTAGATAAATATGTTTTATGATTTATGATATGCATTATCAATGATGTACACCAAACCTTAGCGAAAAAAAATCCCGTAAACACATTAATAGTTTTTTTATAGGTTAAATGCAATATGGTTGGAACACTTGAATTCATGTCACCAGAGGTATTATCAAGTGTTTTATTCAGTTCTTTGCATTAAAAAGATCATCTATCTATCTATCTCAAAATTCAAGATTTTTCCAAAGTAATGATTTAATAGAACCGATTGCCAATGTTTTTTATTAGGCCGTTATTAATATAGCTATTATTATAATAATTCTTTTTCCTTTCATTAATGTTATTATTATTATTATTATTAATATTATTTCCAGGTGATGAAATGCTCCCATGCAAGCCCTGCTAGTGATATGTGGAGCTGTGGTGTTCTTCTATATATGTTACTCAGGTTAGCAGCACTAACGTTAAGCTAAAGTAAATCAAAGGGACTGTACGTGCAATTTCAAGTGACCTTCCATTTATAGAGCGGCATATCCGATTTACAACGATACCTTTAAACCTTTGCTTGGATTTGGTAAATATTCTTATTTATACAGCAGTGAATTAAGTGCCAAAAAACCCCGCGAGTGTACACTAGCATAGAGCGTCTCCCGGCACTTAATATTCATGGTTATACAAATGAGGGAATCAACACCTCATAGGTGTCCGGACAAAGGTTTAACTACCGTTGTGAATCGGACATGCCTCTTTATAAATAGAAGGTAACTCTCAATTACGCTTACAGTCCCTTTAAAACAAGATTGAAATCTTGTTTTTAATATTTACTCGTCTTATTGGAGATCTATTGGAGAAGCACAACATTTTTTTTTTAATTTCTGATATGTAACTGGATAAATTAATTTTTATCTTACTCTTACAAAAAATCGAAACCAGAGAAGTTACGAGGTCACAAAGTCGTACAATTAAAATCGCATAAATTGGACCTTTTTATTTTGCCCAGTTCAGTGCTCAGTGCAGTTCTAAAATATCTTTTACAGTCAAAATATTCTAAATGGCTTTCTCTTTTGCTTAGCCCAGTGCAGTTCTAAAATATCGTTTACGGTCAAATATTCTAAATGGCTTTCTCTTTTGCTTAGCTCAGTGCAGTTCTAAAATATCTTTTACTGTCAAATATTCTAAATGGCTTTCTCTTTTGCTTAGCCCAGTGCAGTTCTAAAATATCGTTTACGGTCAAATATTCTAAATGGCTTTCTCTTTTGCTTAGCTCAGTGCAGTTCTAAAATATCTTTTACTGTCAAATATTCTAAATGGCTTTCTCTTTTGCTTAGCTCAGTGCAGTTCTAAAATATCTTTTACTGTCAAATATTCTAAATGGCTTTCTCTAAACGTTTATTTTCCATAGGAAAATTATTATTTTAAAAAGGAATATTATTCATGTAAATATTGTATACATATTCTTGAAAATCTGTAAATTTGGGAAGTTGAACCCAGAAATATTGTTCTTATGGGAAGTTGGCATTTGAAAAATTGTTCATTCTTTGACAAAGAATGTAACAAGTTAAGAGTTTTAGGGAGCTCAATGTATAATTAGGAAATAAAAAAAAATTGAATACATTTCACGCAGTTGGTTCGGAAATTTCATCCTTTTTGTATATGATGGTGGATTTTTTTAATTTTTTAAGTGTTTATCGTAATAAATTTTATTTACCCTCCATTTAAAGAGGGGCGTGCCTGACTCACAATGGTACTCCTTAAACCTTTGTCTGATCAATAATTTGGAAGATATCGTCGTTTTGCTAGCTTGTAAAATGTTTGAATTCTGGTCATTTTTGCCAGTCCCTTTTACTTTTAAAGTTAAAAATATGGATATCTTACTCTTTTTTTTTTTAATATTACAAAGCTTACAGGGGAACTCTGAACTAAATATTACGTATTCAGTTCCTTTAGAGACCATTGACAAAAGCTAAAAACTATTCTATGAATTTTTATTCATATTCAAAAGAACGTCTACAAAAATCCCCCTCTTCTTTATATGTACATGTTGACCTTTTCGTCAAATTTTGAGGGGACTGTACAACTTCCCTGTACACATTGACTATCGGCATTCTATACTCTAACCTTTCTCCGTTTGTGGGTTGCCCCGTCGGTTCTATATGTAACCATATTACAACCATAATCACTATTTACTGTTTAATATCTGTTTGTGTAAAATCTTGGTTTTTTATGACTTTCTGTTTTCTGACTCAGTGTTATTTTCTTAGTATTTCATAATCTTCGATTTCCCTTTTATTGGAAAATACGTCGGCATTTCCCCTTTCAGAACTTAAACTTCAGAACTGGATGAATAAGCAGTGTTAAAGGGATTGTAGTTGTAAGTTGACGGAGTTATCCTTATTTATCTAGCTTGCACTTGTTGAAACTATGTTTACCAGCTATTAAAGGGATTGTATAGTTGTAATTTCAAGTTGACGGAGTTATCCTTATTTATCTAGCTTGCACTTGTTGAAACTTTGTTAGCCAGCTGTAAAGGAAAAATGTCTATGTCTGTATCACTTGACAATGATACTGCACTGCCAATGGTGGAAGTTCTGGTCGCGTGATACGAATGTATCAATTGTATCTATTAAAGATGAAAAATTATTAAATTCAAATAATAAAAGGAGCAAAAACTGAGTTTTTCAGGCTCCTCTGGGATATCGTCGTTTTCAGATAGGATGCGTAATGCGTATTCTATATGATCTGATTAAAACTTAGTTTATTATACCAAAACTCATTTATATAAGTTTTGGGTATGTTTTTGACACAGTTTTATATCATTTTCTCGGGGCATAAGCATCAGATAGAACTCTTGTAGGTCTCGATCAACTTCTCAAGTTCTTAGGTTTCAGCCTATACCCCCTTCATTTTTCCTGTACAGTCCCTTTAAGTGCATAATAATATTTAATTTCCAGAACTAAGTAGAAGAAAATATTTTTTATTGAATTTTTTAAAACGCGATAAACTTGCCAACGATGATCAGTCAAAGGGTTAAAGAGTTACACAGTAAATCGTATAATCCAGCTCTTTGCATGCTGGAGGTTCATTTGAAATCATGCTTACAGGCTATTTACCATCCCAGGAAAATAAAAAAGACCCATATAGAAATCCCGTTTTTATATTTATTGTTTTTCATCAACAATGGAGATTAAATATAAACAGACTTTATGCATAATTTAAATCAAAGAAATAATTTTTTAGTGGAGGTGTCTCTCCTTTTTGGGCTGGCAACGATTATGGAACACAGGTAGCATAACCATCCGTCTACTCTCTACTGTCAACTGTCTACTGTCTACTGTCTACTGTCTACTGTCTACAGTCTACTGTCTACTATCTACAGCCTACTGTCTACTGTCTACTGTCTACTGTCTACTTTCTACTGTCTACTGTCTACTGTCTATTGTCTACTATCTACTGTCTACTGTCTACTGTCTACTGTCTACTTTCTACTGTCTACTGTCTACTGTCTACTGTCTACTGTCTACTGTCTACCGTCTACTGTCTACTGTCTACTGTCTACTGTCTACTGTCTACAGTCTACTGTCTACTATCTACAGCCTACTGTCTACTGTCTACTGTCTACTGTCTACTGTCTACTGTCTACTGTCTACTGTCTACTGTCTACTTTCTACTGTCTACTGTCTACTGTCTATTGTCTACTTTCTACTGTCTACTGTCTACTGTCTACTGTCTACTGTCTACTGTCTACTGTCTACTGTCTACTGTCTACTGTCTACTGTCTACTGTCTCTTAATATATATATTTTCTAGAGAAAAGTTGTGAAAGGACAGTACAGATTGGATATTCCTCAATTTGACAGTATAACAGAGGAATATAAAATATTGTAAAAAAACAAATTTTAAAAAATTTGCTTCAGTTTAATACTTTCAGGGACTATAGACAAAAGTTTGATTGACACTCTAATAACCTTAACGGACATAAACCCTTTATTTAATAATGGATTTTTGAAACTTCTGAAACTCGAGTGTACACCCGGGCATATGGTGTCTTGAGTTTCCCGCCAATTCATTTTTAGTTTTCATCGATGCTCAGACAAAGGGTACAGTTGTGAAACTCTTTATGTCCCGAGGTCACTTAAAATAACGATAACAGTCCCTTTAATGTAAATTTTCAACTCACCATATTTTGCATGTTAAGGAAGCTAAGGAAACACAGAATCATTATAAAAATATATTTCTAGTTTCTAAGAAAAATTTTTTGAATTTTTTCACATGAAAAAATATTTTGTTTATAATAATAATAACCACGTTAAAATTGTAATGAATTTGTGGTTTTGATACCAGAATCTGATTTCCGGACTCATTAAACCCAACCCTGAGAAGAGGTTATCTGCTACACAGGTAGAAACATGAATACTAAGCTAGGGTGTATATTG